CGCCCCCCCCCCCCTGCTTTCCTGCCCATGACGTTCAGAGTTGTTTTCGCCCGCCTTTCCTCACTGAATTTGCCACATGTTGCCAAATGCCAACACCACCCACCCACCCACACCGTCTCCATCTCGTCTGCTCCCCCCCCCCCCACGCCGCGCACAGCACTCGTGGTTTCCTGGTTACGCATGGACATGCGCTTACTGCGCGTTTTGCATGGAACACCTTGGGTGGCGTTTCACCGCGATCAGACCGGGGAGCGGGGAACAAGAACGCCGACAGCGGCAACCACGTTCCGTACTTCTTTCCTCCGGATCCCCACTGTCGCCCCCCGCCTCGCCGCATGCTACCTCGTCGCTGTTGCCGTTGCCTTCTACTCCACTTGCCGGTGAGGCAAGCGGTAGCGGCGGTAGAGGCGCCCTGGGGTCTTCGTCGCCTGCAACAACTCGCACGGCCGGGTGGGGGGGGGGTATGAATGAGCCGGAGCTCGGCCCAGCGTCGTTCTTCGGACTGCGTAGACCAGCCCTCGCTACTCCAAGATGAGTTTCGAGAGGCGACGACGAGCAAGCAACAGGCGGTGTGCCGCCGCCGCCATGTGTGCTGGGGCGGCACCTTGCTCTCCCTACAGTAGGTTTCAGCGTGTGGCTGGGATTTTGCTGCTGCTATACGTGTTTCGCCCCCGCGCAGGGTTGTGCTCAAGCCTGTGGGTGGAACAAGCTTATTTTCTTGCCGTGCAGTTAATGCACTGGTGGCAGCAAGCCTTGTAGCTGTACCCTTGTCGTTTAGAAACAAGCGGCCACAAGCCAATGTGTTGTGAGCAATGAGCAAAGTAGCGTTCCTCGCACTGCGGGTACAGCAGGAACACCTTGTACTCCTTTCTGGACGCGCTGCGCCGGATTTCCGCCGGTTTGGGAGGGTGCGAGGGGCGAAATGGGCGCGGGTAGCGCTCGTCGCCTGCTTTCCTACCATATTTTCGTGACGCGTGTAAATAACCAGGTGTGTGTGTCCACCGCGGGTTGTCGGGATGGGTCCTCCGTGGCAGCGTATTCCTCGTGCGTGTAATGTTCATGGGTCTGTAGTAATAAGCGTGCCCAGTTTCACTGTCCGTGTTACTCGTCGGCTTGCAAGTTGGGTAAGTGAGGGTAGGGATGGTAAAAGCGTTTTCGACTTCCACGAGAGTTTTTTTTTTTTGAAAGATTTCCATGTACTAAAAAAAACGAGGCTCTGCCGTCCGTTCACCATGGATGTTAACGCGTACCTTTTTCTTGTTCGAGCGAATCTTGTTAAGTGAACGCGCACAGCGAAGCGGCACGTCACCGCTTTCGTTCCAAAAGTTTCTGGGATGATCACGGCGTAAAAATTCGCTCCCTGCGGGATTTCCTTTTGAATACAGTACCCGAACGACGAAGGGAGGGACACCGAAACTGAAAGATACCTCTTGGTCTTGGAAACTGCTCTGATGGGTTTCTGTCGGAAGTGTAGATGCGTTTTACTGTACACCCCCCCTCCCCTTTCGTAAAGGAATCTGGCTCGGGCGAAGTGGGAAAGGTGACTGTCTTCCGTAGTTGAGAAATGTCCAAGCTCTACTTCAGCAAGCTCAAATTTCAAAACTGGAACGAATCGAATGACCTTGTTGTATTCGTGTTCTTTCTTCCCGGGAGTTTTGAAGCGAAATGGTGATTCCTTGTGAGAAGCGAAACGTATCAGGAACCGTACCGCAAGAAGGGCATTGATCGATCATAAAATGGGTCGCCCGTGTCTTAATGTTCCATGGAGATTGGTGTAAGCAAACAAGCAAGGCTCTCATTGAGAGAGTGATTTTGGTGCTTTTAGCACCGCACTTTGGCAGGGCATGCAGTCTGGAGAGTCCATGTGTCCATGTACGGGGCACCCTCAGCACCAGGTGGCAGGCCAAAAGCAGCAGCAGCGCAATAAGCACATCCACACAGAGAGACCGGGATGGTTTTTAATGTGAAGACAACAACAACAACAACAACAACACAATCCTCCAACTTCGTCGATTTCGGATTTCGGATCGATCATCATCGCGAGTGCACGTGCACGCACACACTGCAGTACTCAAAAGCAAGATGAATCCCAACGACAGCATAACCAATTCAACACTTGCGAAATGGGGGATCCAATACCCCCCTCACCAATCTCTTATTTGCGTCGGATCGGGCTCATATCAACGATGTCGTTGGTACAGCAGTATCATGAACGAGGCACAGACAGCTTGTCTTGCTTGGACGCCGTCCAATCTGCTTCGGTTGGCAACAGATTTGGCACAAGAAAACATAAAACGTGACAACGCGACACCCTGTAGACTCGGAAGGAGAAATCCGAATCCGCACAACCCCCCGGTAGGTTCTCCACTCGCAGCAGAGGGAAGGCACACAGCAGCTGTTGTGACGGTCAAGCAAGCGGAGGGCATACTTGGATCCTACAAGAACAACGGTCAAGCAAGCGGAGGGCAAAGTCAAATTCGTAACGGCCGGCAAAATGCCGGTAGCCGCCGTGTACCAAAAGGCATGATTTTCTCCAAATTATCTGGGTGGTGTTGAGTAAACACCAGGGTTGGGGGAGCCCAATTAAGGCACGTAGTATACCTCACGACGGCACGGTAGAGGATGAGCTGAGCGCACCTTCCTTGCCTAGGAGGAGGTGAACTTGGTGACGGCCTTGGTGCCCTCGGACACAGCGTGCTTGGCGAGCTCTCCCGGGAGCATGAGGCGCACGGCGGTCTGGACCTCGCGGGAGGAGAGGGTCGCCTTCTTATTGTAGCGGGTGAGCTTGCCGGACTCGCCGGCCACGCGCTCGAACACGTCGTTGATGAACGAGTTCATGATGGACATGCCGCGCTTGGAGATACCTGTGTCGGGGTGCACCTGCTTGAGCACCTTGTAGATGTACGAGGAGTACGACTCGGTCCTCTTGTTGGTCCTCTTCTTGTCGCCGGCCTTCTTGGGCGCCTTTGCGGACTTCTTGGAGGGAGTCTTAGCCATGTTGCTGGTTGGTGTTTCGGGAAGGAGGTGAGAGGTGAGGGACGGTAGAGAGATGTGAGATAGCGCGGCTTGGCGTTATCGCGAGGAAAGGATTGTGGAACCCTTTAGAGGCGTGATCTTGGCGTTGTTGCTTTTCGGTCACCGCTCTCTAATTTCGCCAATCGTTGAGCTTGCCGCTTGTCTCATCCAATCGAAGAGCCAAACGACGCGGCGAAATTGAAGGGTTCGAAATCTTGAGCTACCCCGCGTGCTCCAAAACCGTTGCTCTGCTTGCTGCTTGCTGCTTGCTCTCCCTCACATCCCCCTTCACAATCTCAACCACCCCCCCCCAGCACCTCTTCGTCACCACCAGCCCACTATCAACCATGTCCGGAAAGGGAAAGGGAGGCCGCGGAAAGAAGATCACCTCTAGGTCGGCCAAGGCCGGACTCCAGTTCCCTGTCGGGCGCATCGGCCGCTTCATCAAGCAGGGCAAGTACTCCAGCCGCGTGGGAGGAGGCGCGCCGGTCTACATGGCGGCTGTGCTGGAGTACCTCACCGCCGAGGTGCTCGAGCTCGCCGGCAACGCCGCCCGCGACAACAAGAAGGCTCGCATCGTCCCTCGCCACATCCAGCTGGCCGTCCGTAACGACGAGGAGCTGAACCGGCTGCTCGGCGACACCACCATCGCTTCCGGCGGTGTGCTGCCCAACATCCACGCGGTGCTCTTGCCCAACAAGAAGTAAAGCTGGTCATGTTTCCCCACCACCACCACTGCTTTTGTACGCGTCGGCCTGGTCAGTACGTCTTCCTACTGCCGACCCAACGTGTTACGATCAAGAATCCAACCTGGTGTTTAATCAACACCACCCAGATGACGAAAGAAAAGTCTGCCGGTTTGTGTCTTGGCGTGCCCTCCAGTGCATGTTGCACGTGGACATGGATGGGTGCGTTGTTGGTGAAGGATATGTATGGATACTCGGTACGAGATACGCATGCTTCTCGCAAGTTGACTTTAATGCTGATCCAGTTTCGACCGAAGCTACGTTTGCTTGTTTGCTCATCAATGAGTTACGCACGCGTCTACTGTATGCATAGACTAGAGGTGTAACGTTTGTTGGGTATTTGCATATTTTTTTCAAATTCGGCCGTTGGGATTTTTTAGTGGTTGCACCCCCTGGATCTTGTTGTCTTCACATTAAAAAACGTTCTGGTCTGCACTCAGTACCTTTTATTAATGTCCGTACTGGTCCAACTGACGCGGATGCCTTCCGTGTTAACAAGCCAACTGCCCCCAATAGGGGGTGGGGATACACCTTTCTGAAAGACAGAAATAAAAATGGCCCTGGGAACATTTTTTTTGGGAAGACGACACACGGGGTAAATACAGTCTATATACCCTGGTCGAAAAGTTATCCCTAGAAGGTAGGTGGCGTTTGGAAGGTGTGCGAAGCTCCGGGAGAGAGAGGCTACTTGGAAGAGAATAAAAGGCACATAGACTATATTTCATGATGTAGAAGTACATACAGGTAGTGGTAGATGGGACTTTTCGCCAACCGAGACCAACCCGTAGCTTTACTGTTCCAGTCTTGTCCTGGTACCTGCTGCACTGACCGACCCACATGTATGACATGTGCACAACAACATACATGCAGAAAAAAAAACAAGGTGCGCTCGTTGGGGGTGAAGCCGAAAGCTGAAAGGCTCATGTAGTGGTTTGCGGTGTGCGGGACCGAGCGTAGAGGGTGTGACGGTGTGCTGTTCGCTGTATGCTGTGTTGTAGTTGGTGTTATCAATTCAAAAGGTGGCAGCGTCATATTTGGGGGGGGGCCGTGTCTGAAAATATCGTATCGTGTATCGTCGATACTCGATGTTCGATGTCGGTACTGTATCGACATATCGGCAAAATAATTCAGCGATGTCGATGTTGAGTATCGCTGAAATATCGGCATCGAATACGTCAAATCGATACGCGATGTCCATCACTGGAAATGAGACCCTTTCATCGATCAGTTCCCCCGCGGGAATCTTCCCACTTCCTTTTCCCCAACCATGCGATTGTTGTTGTTGTTGTTGTCTTCACATTAAAAACCGTTCCGATCTCTCCCTACCCAGTACCTTCGTATGTCCGTACTGATACAACACTCGACGCGGTCGATTCCCGTGGTCGCAGGCTAACTTACCCTAAAAAGGTACACTCAAATAAAATGGCCCCGAGGGGTCCGCAAGTCAATAGAAATCAACGCCAAATATTCTGGAGTCCTCTACTCCCTCCGCGCGCTATGCGAGGTAACAACTGAGACTAGGGGTCACCATCACGGACCGGAGAGAATGAGGTACACCCCCTTGGTTCAATCTTGGTACTTCACAACGCAAGCAGAAACAAGGCCATCTGGCACAGAAAAAGATAGAAAAGAGAACAAGAGAAAAAGAGAAGAAAATAAATGGAAACAGTAAGGAAAGAGAAAATGAAATAAAAAGAGCGAGGACAAAAAGGGACCAGGCCGAAAATAACAAGAAATAAGAGACAGAAAAAGGCACACGGTGGAAAGACCACTATGGACAAGCAAACACGCAAACATGGCCACCAACCAGCGATATACGATACCAAATGGCGAATCTTCCCGACGACTAACAACCATGGCAACGGGTCAGGAGTCAGTTTCCGCCCCTGAGAAACAACACCAATCATCAAACCCTTCCGCTCTAAATCAACAATGGCCAGGCAACACCCCAGCACCCCAGCTGCTGTACCCTTCTCGCGATAAAAATACCTCAGGCATGAACCGCAGGAGGGGGTCCAACCCCCCCCTCCTATGTGACCCCGGTTGGATCGTGTAGCTAGTAGAAGTGGAGGATAGGGGCCAGAGGGGCAGACGACAGAGTCCAACGATGGGAGAAAAACAAACAAAAAACAAAAACCCCAGCACAATTGTTCCGTTTGGAAACATACGTACAATACCCCGTGGACTACTGCTTACTGCAGTCTTTATGCGAGATGCACGGGTCACGCTATGAAAGCGAGACCGATCCAGCATGGTTGACATACATATGCATGTGTGCGTGCGTGTGTTGTCTGTTGTGGCTCAATTGCGATGTGTTTCTTACTTGAACTACTGCTTTAGCAGCAGCGGTCACGCTTGCCAGCCAACCAAGCCGACCAATTAATCAATGTAGTTAGAAGACGTCAGGCTTCAGCGCGATGAACCGATGAAGTACAACGCGAGCAGTCTTTCTTCTCTCTACCGACAGGGAGGATGATCGAGTTGGACGACACATCAGTGTCCTGCTGCTAGAGTAAGGAAAAGGCTCGTGTGTGCGTGATTGATGTCAAGGGCGTGTCTGTGTGTGCTGGTCCTGCCTCTCCCCTCCACCCTCTCCGCGGGCGCGAGCTCGCCACCATTACAGCGCCACACATGGCAATTCGTTCATATTTCGTAACTCTACGCTGGAAACCGGACGTTTCCGGCGCCTCCGTTGCTTCTTGTAGAGGAGGTCTGCGCCTTGTTAAGGTGCGCCCTCAGGCCCCGCTTTGGTACACTCAAGTACCCACAGACCCTTCTCATTGTACAAAAGTTCGACATGGTTGTGCTTTTGCGTCATCCGAGCAGCGATTGTCCTCAGTCCTGCGGCCCGTTTCGCTACGTGCGAGGTCCGCTAACAATTGGTGATGTTTCTAAACGACAACAGCGTACGTAGCTTCAAAGTAGTAGACTGTAACAGTGCTTCAGCCTCCAAGGCTAAGGTACGTTCAGCCATTTTCACACCGACAAAGGACACAAAACAACCGAACGACACTAGTACATGCATATTGTGCTAAAAACTGCAGAGTATAACGACAAATACTCGACCGAAGCGTTCTTGCATCAACCTAAATCACCCCAATACATCAGTATATCGAAGGAAATTGATATGCGCCGCTGTCCACGACTGCACCGAACAATCCAACAAAAGAACTAATCGACACTTGACAAAAGAACTCGTGTAGCCCATACCTTGCACGCGCATGAAACACAAAGCCCCGCCACGCTTCCCAAAGCATCCACCAATATTTGCGCAAAAAATACCTCAAACCAAGACAGCACGGGCACCTTATCAACCGGTACACACGGCCAGACGTTTCCATCCCATGTACCGAACCTCGTACAGCAATAATTGTGCCATGCATGTGGAGACAAGTGCCGCCGTTCCATTCCATCTTTAGGGACATGAAAACCAGTACAGCTAAACGGGTCCTGCTGTGGGCAGAACACCGACTACCCATGATCCCACCCATGCGGGGTTGATGTTCTGTCCCTTCCCCTTCCGTGCGTGGTAGACCCACGATGGTCCCCCTGCCACGCCTCCCTAGTTGGTCGAGCATCGCGCGATCCACTCGGCTAACCCTGGCCTACATCGCACGAGAAAAAACTGGCCTCCTACAAAGTGGCAGGCCAAAGCTACCCGTCCAACGAACCCTCGACTCCATCAAACATCAGGGCAGAGGGCATCTATCTACGTCGGCATCTACATGCAAGCGTGAATCTCACCGACGCCTGGACGACAAGAAAAAAAACATTATAGAACCGCATGCTTTCTCCGCAATCGAGAAGACGACCGAATCACCGTTCGAGCGCCATTTCGTCAGTGAACTGCAGCGTCCATGTGTGTGTGTCACCTATACTCATCCAGCCCACACTACTGAATGTGGTTCTTCACAGAACCGCTACTTTACCACCCTATTTCCGATATAGAAAATAATAACGGTCAAAGGGCAGCCTTATCGCTACTGGCAACGCTCCTCTCCGGATCCCGCCGGAGAAAACAATAAAAAACGTGACGTTCATTTCATACTACACTGCTGTACTCCCCGAATAGACTATACCTTCCTCTCCTCCGCTGCACTACGACGCACGCCCCTCCCATTGCTTGCATTGCCGTGGGTATCGAGAGGGAAGAACACGCCGGGTTATTCGTGAACTCTTCTCGAATGTATTCGAATAAAAGAAGTCCGGACACCAAAACGCGTCCGTTCTTCCACCTACAGCACCACAGGAGGAAAGCTGGACGACAAACAGAGCACGATCACCCACAATTCATCCATCAGTCTCGCGCCAACTCGTCCAGAAGACCCTGGATAGCCTTGAGGGATTTCGACGCACGGCCGCCGCCGCCGCCGCCGCCACAGCCGCTGCTCACGCCCCCTCCCCCTTCCCTGGCCGCGATGCTCTTGGCTTCGACCGCCGCCTTGCGCGCGAGGATGTCCCGCATGCTCTCCAGGCGCGGCCGGTGCTTCACGGAGTTGCACTTGTCCTTCCGTGAAAACGTTGTAATTGTGTTTGGGGGAGGGGGGGGTGAGGATGGGGAGGCGTAGAACGCAGACGACTGAAGCCAAAAGCGTCGATGTTGGAGACGTGCGCCCTGCGACCAGGGGGTTTACAGGCTCCGTTTTCTTGGTTGCGGACGAGGTGGAAGGCAATGGGGGAGCTGAGTACAACGTTTGAGCGGGAAAAAAACAATTCCGACACGCACGGGAGACGAGCTATGAAAGCATTACGCTTTAACCAAAGCGCACCTTGGTTGGCTTGTGAGCGTTCAGCAGCTGCTGCAGCAGCCGCACCGTGGGTAGGAAGACCTCCTGCCTCTCGCGGTACATCTGGAAAAACAAGGAGAGAGGAATCGACGGCCGGGCGGACGGATGCACGCGTAAGTCAACTTCTAGACACTACCTCCCCTGCTTCGGTAGACCAATAGTCGACCGTGGTCAAAAGCTAATCCGAAACCAGGTATGTATGCGTACAGGTTGACAGAATGGGGTATACGCCGTGGGGTTAGGAAAAAATTAGGGTACCTACATCGGTTGAGGGTGCAACACCTGACGCCAGGTACACACACCCAATAAAAACTCCTTCTAGCACCTCAGTCCTACGCCAATCCCTGAGCAATAGCCCACTACTCCAGACGCGAACAAAATTCTTAAGAAAAGCGAGAAGCCAAAGGGGACGTAGAAAAAGAAACACCCAAAAACAAAGTACACCCCGTGCACATATATATACTAGTATATATAGTTGTTGATGCTGTACAACAATACGGCGATGTTGATGAGGTGCGATATACTTTGTCCCAGAACATGTCACGGTGGAACTAATTCGACGAACAAACCACGAACAGCCGTAGGAACGAGTAGAGCATCAACACCGCTGGGGTGGTGAACCGTGGATCATTGAAAGCGGTAAGAAACGGTGGACGATAGCGCCGTACCAGATTCCACAAAGCGTGAACTGTGACGCAGTAGCAATTGTTCGCAGGAGGCTAAGAAGGCAAAGCAAGCATACACGGCAATATCTGCCAACAAACAAAGCAGACTGAAGACAAAACAAAACCGACACCAACCTGCAAGAGGTCGACGTAGGTCTCAGCCGCCACAGGAGGTGCCGCGAGCAAAGCGGGAAGGCCGTCCCCCCTCTGGGCGATGTTCCGGAAGGTCGTGATGACATACCTGGGGAGGCGTTATTTCCGGGGGGAGGGGCAAGAAGACCGGGAGGGAGTCGTACTCACAATAATCCATCACGGCAAGAGGGGTTGGCGCCGAAACGCTATCAGTGTACATACGCTCTCCTAAATACAGTCTTTCATAGCTTGGAGTAAAAAATAGTGATGAAGAAAAGCGCCAACTACCGTTCTAGTGTAACTCACTTGAGGATCTTCTGGTGAGGGGGGCTGCGGTTCAGGCCGCGAATGAGGTCGTAGAGCACCTGGGGACACCTGGACCGGGCCATCACCTCGCAGCACACCTTCGAGTACCTGGACGTGAGCTCTGCAACGCAGCAGCACGGGACGATGCAGCGGTACATTGGGGGGGGGGAGGACTTGATGAACTACCTGGGAGGGGGGAGGGACTCACACGACGCCAAGAACACCTACAGATACAGCAGTGGGGGTCTCCGAATATGGCGGTGGCGGGGAAACTGTTGAAGTATGGGGCAGCCACCTAATTCATTCAATATGTAAAACTTGCTCGTACCGTCAATGCCAGTCAATTTCACACGCCCTATATATAGGGCGATCGCTATATTCAGACGCCCTATTCGGGGACCCCCACCGTAAACCCAAGGTTGTCCTTGAGGTGACAGGACTAGGTACGAGCTTCGCCCTCGAGGCCAAAAACAAGTTGGTCCGTTGGAAGATTCTGAGAGGGTCTGCACTGCTACGAAAAAATCAAAACTCCACATACACAGCGGTTGCGACAACCGAGATATCTCACCGAGAGCGATGCACGCTCGGATGATGGCCGTCAGGTGCGTGCAGTGCTCCAGCGCGGTGAGGGCGTCGTTCACTCTGCACATGCAGACAGATAGAAAAACGGGGGGAATCAGGAAACGGGCAAAAAAAAAATGCAGAGGGGCGGGCGTCAGGGGGTGTCCAATTCAATACGATCGCTCAAGACGAATTCCGATCCTCCCATGACAGTCTTCCTTTTTATTGCTGCAATTTTGTGGCATCCAGCGGCAAAAGATCGGCGCCCGGGAGAGCGGCGGTGCCACATGGTAGATAAACGCCTGCTGGTTCTGCTGTGTCGAAGAATGAAGGCAAATGAAAGCACTGCTATGAGAGCAAAAATAAGAAACGCGCACCTGGTACCGAGGACCTGGGAAGGATCGGCGAGGGCGTTGGCGTTGGCCCTCTCGATCCTCGCCCGGGCTGAGGAGATCCCGGGATCCGTCTTCTTCCGCGCTGCCATGCCGCGAGCGGCCGCCTGAGTGGTGGTCGTGGCGGACGTTTTGACGTGAAAAACAAGCCCTCAGGGAGTCAAAAAACAAATGGCTTCTAACATTCCACCACCAGCACCACCAGCACCAGCACCAGTAGTACCGCAGGCTGGAAGGGCGGGTTGGGACATTGGCAGAAGATGATGTGGCGTTTGACTGACGATAACCTTCGAAGCATGCGATGAATCGGGCTGGTGCCGCTTCCCCTGAGCAGAACACAAACCCAGCCAAGCACGTCGCGGTCGCGATCGCTCCGGCGACACTTCTGTATCATGAGCCGTCGCGCGCATGACACGATCGGGCTTCGTCGCGCACCTGGATCATGGTGGCCGCCTTGGTCCTGGAGAACCGGCGGCCGAGCACCAGCCAGCGAGCAGCCGCCTCCTCGCGGCCCCTCCTCCCGCGGACGAGGCTCTGCAACATCACCACGCGCCGGCGGGTGCGGCAGTAGCGCGCGGCCTCCGCCGCCGCTCGCCACCAAGCGATTATCCTAGTTGAGGCGTCGCGTTCCGCCTTGAGAGCGCCGCGTGCGGCCCTCCCTCGGACGGCGGCCTGCAGAGCGACAGTTCCCCGCCTGGATTGCGAGAGGAAGAGATATTCCAATGGGTTTTAGGTACCGTAAGTGTCATCGTGGGTTGGAAAAAAGTGGTGTGAGTGGGCGGAAGAAATAAACGTACACACTCGGATTGTTGAGCGTGCGGAAAGTGGTTTGGCCATTGACCATTTGGCGTCGTCGACCCGTTTGCTTGAAGGAGCGGGGCTGGGGGGAAGGGGCAGTCAAAAAAGGTAGCCAAACCAAGTTTTCCCCTTGAATCAACCCGGACAACATCTCGAAGGCTGCTGAAGCAGCACAGGTAACGAAAGGATTGCCCAACGACCGGGGAAGCAGGGGGAGGGGACAACCACCACCAGTGAGAAGCATGAACGAAAAAGTGCATGTAGGAAACCGGCAAAAACGCCGCCAAGGATAACAAAACAAAACCATTTCCCATATTCGAGCGTGGCGTTTCATATTGCCGCGTTGGCCACGCAGTTCGTCATGGTACCGCCGTCGCCAATACTCCGCCGCTACAGTACAGGCGTCCGCGTACCTTGCCCGGCGGCAATCCGCCCTAGCTGACGCCATCCTCCACCAAGCCTGCACGGCAACCGCCGCCGTCGCGATCTCCCGCTCCCGCCGCCGCCACAGCAGCCTCTCCCGCCACGCCCGCTGCACCACGATGGCTACCGCCTCCGCCCGCATCAGCTCAGCCCGCTCCAGTGTCCCCCGAGCGAACGCCTGCAGCGTCCTCGCCGCGCTCTCCTCACGCGCCGCCCGTATCTCCGCCGCAACCGCCGCCGCCGCCGCCGCTTCTGCGGCGAGACGGGACCTGGCGGCCGCTCCCCGCCAGCGAGCCTGCACCGCCGCCGCCGCCGCGTGAGTCCTACGGAACCGCGCCGTAGCGAGGGCGCCCCGCCCGAACGCCTGCAAACGAACGGCGGCCGCGAAACGGCCGGCGGCGCGTGAGCGGTCCGAGGCGCCCCGCCAGCGGGCCTGGATGGCGACCGCCGCCGAGGCCTCTCGGCGCAGGGCCGCCCGGGCGAGGTGACCCCGGGAGCACGCCTGGAGGAGGGTGGCAGACGATTGTTCGAGAGCTTCCTGTCGGCGTTCCTCTTCGAGAACCGACCGCCACCACCTGTTCGATTGTTGCGGTGAACATGGGACAGACGGAGACGTCAGCAGCAACGAAAATCGTCGTTTTGAGAGGGAGGGGAATCAATTTCAGGCGAGAGAGAGAGAAAGAGAGAGAGAGAGAAGAGACGAAGAACGAGAGAGAGATCGGGAAGAGCTGCTGTGGCTCCTGAGGAGCAGGAGAAGGGTCACCAAACCACATTTACCGCCTATGCCGTCATGTGGAATCAGGTGTGGGCATTGAGGCAAGGCATACCATCACCACTACAGATCACAACTTCGCGATGGTTTGCAAGCTTCGTTTCGATAGGGTTTTCATGTTTACAGGCGAAAACAAGTTCCTCACCGTTGCACCGCGGCTGCCGCCACCGTCCTGCGCGACAGCATCGCCCTGGCCGCCGCTCCTCGCCACGCCCTCTGGATCACCGCCGACGCAAGTATCGCGCGACGCTGCTCCCTCCCCCTCGCCACGCGGGCACACGCCGCCGCTGCCCTCGCCGCCGACTGTATCCTGGTCGCCGCGACGGCGCGACGGGCCTGGTCTCGCCGCACCCGCTGCCCCCTGGCGCGCGCCTGCACCACGGTAGCCGCGGCAACGACCGCCCGAAAGGCGCGGCAAGCCATGGCTCCGCGCACGGCGGCCTGCATCCTGACGGCGGCTGCCTGCTTCGCCTCCGCTCGCCGCCGCCGTGCCGCCACACGGCGACGGCGCCACGCCTGGATAGCGCTTGCGGCAGCCGCCTCCGCCTCCTGGGCCTTGGCAAGAAGAACCGCGGCCTCGATCTCTTGCCGCTCCCGCGCGAGACACGCCCGGGTCTGAGCCCCGCGCACGAGCGCCTGAAACCTGGCGCTTCCATCGACCGCCCTCCGGTAGGCCGCCCTAGCCGCCGCGCCGCGCCACGCCGCCTGCAGCCTGACGGCGGAGCGCTTCTGGCGGCGGGCGAGGGACCGAGCGGTCGCCATGCGCCACCAGGCCTGGATCTGCGTGGCCCGACCGGCTTGCCGGGCGAGCTCTCGGCGAGCCGAGGCGCCGCGCATGGCGCTCTGGACCGCGACGGCGGCGGCGCGGTCCCTGCGGTAAGCGGTCGCCGCGGCCGCGCCGCGCCGGCGGGATTGGGCGACTACGGCGGCGCCCACGAGCTTCCGGTAACATGTTAGCGCCACCGCGCGCCGCCGGCGAGCCTGGACGACCACAGCCGCCGCCACGGTCCTGCGGTAGCGAGACCTTTCCAGTGCAGCTCTCCAAAGCGCCTGGATTCTCACAACAGCCTTCGCGTCCTTGCGGTAGCGAGCAACAGCGGCCGCGCGCCTGAAACCGGACTGAACAACCACGACAGCAGCGAGAGTCCTGCGGTAACGAGCCGCTTCCGCCGCTCTCCGCGCATGAGCTTGGACGACCACAGCTGCGGTGATAGTCCTGCGAAAGCGAGATTTCTCCAAGGCAGATCTCCAGTGTGCCTGGATTCTCACAACAGCATTGGCATCCTTGCGGTAGCGAGCAACAGCCGCCGCACGCCTGAAACCGGACTGAACGACCACGATAGCTGCGACAGTCCTGCGGTAACGAGCCGCTTCCGCCGCACCTCTCAGGTGTGCTTGGACGACCACAGCGGCCTCCTTGGTCCTGCGGTAGCGAGACCTCTCCAGTGCAGCTCTCCAACATGCCTGGATTCTCACCACAGCGCTGATGTCCTTGCGGTAGCGAGCAACAGCGGCTGCACGCCGTAGCCCAGACTGAATGACGACCACAGCGGCGAGAGACCTGCGGTAACGACCCACTTCCGCCGCTCCCCGCACGTAAGCTTGGACGACCACAGTGGCCTCCTTCATCCTGCGGTAGCGAGACTTCTCCAGTGCAGCTCGCCAATTCGCCTGGATCCTCACCACAGCGCTGACATCCTTGCGGTAGCGAGCTACGGCCAAAGCAGCACGCCAGTGGGACTGGATCATCCTCGCGGCGTCGACGGTCCTGCGATAGCGAGCAGCCGCCACGACCCCTCGCGCGCGCGCTTGGGCGACGACAGCAGCCCTCACGAGCTTGCGGAAGCTCCTAGTCGCCAACGTCCCCCGCCACCAGGCCTGCACAACGATGGCGGCGCGCTTGGCCTTCTGGAAACCCATCACCTGCCTCCTAGCCCGGGCCCAAGCCTGCAGGCGAACCGAGGCCCTCTGGCGCACGGCCAGCTCTCCCCTGACGACGGTCGCGCGAGACCAAGCCTGCACGCGCACGGCGGCCGCACGCTTGCCGCGGAACAGGTAGGCTTCCTTCTGGCCTCGAGCGATCGCCTGGACGCGGACCGCGGCTCGGCGCCTCGCGTCCATCCGCGCCCTCTCCACCACGCCTCGCCGCCACGCCTGCAGCACCACCGCAGCCCGCAGGTGGCTCCGGTACCTACCAGCCTCCAGCGCGCCCCTCGCCCACGCCTGGACGCGCACGACGGCAGCGCGGCGCTCGGACACGGCGCGCCTCGCGACAGCACCCCTTGCCCAGGCCTGAACGACGCACGCCGCAGCCACGACCCGCCTGTACCTCCGCCGCTCCAACGCGGCGCGTCCCCAGCGCTGCAGGACAGCAACGGCTACCCCCCGCCGGGCCGCCTGTTTTCTGGCCGCTGTACCTCTTGCCTTGGCCTGGAGTAGTGTCGCCGCTGTCTCTTGCCGGTGACGACGGCCTCGCGCCAGGACACCCCGGCAGAGCGCCTGCAGGCGCACCGCCGCGGTGTGCTCCGCCGCCGCTCGTTTCGCCACCCGTTCTCTTGACAGTCTCGCCCGCGCCGCGGTGCCCCTCTGCGCCGCCTGGACGGCGATGACCGCGGCCCTCTTCTTGGGGTAGAGGTTCGCCTCTGCCCTGCCGCGCGCGACGGCCTGGATGCGAACGGCGGCTTGCCTAGCGGTAGACAGTTTTCGCCTCGCGGAGAGCATCCGGCGCCAGGCTTGGACCGTGGTCGCGGCGCTGTTTTCTGCGGCGGCTTGGAGCTGCGGCCATTCGTCGTTACGAGGGGACGGGGTATAGAAGAAGGCACGGAAGGTTTCGAACGAGGTTAAAAAAGGTGAAATTTGATGGAATATAAGTGGCCATTACGTTAGTGGAATCATTCGGCAGTCACAGCAATACATAGGTCTATCGCACCCGGCCGCACCTTTCCGGAGCACGCCGCAATACTGTTGGATCTAAACAAGATACCGTCTCAAGGCAGGGGTCATCTCCGACTGCCAATCAAAAGTGACAACGTCACTTGCTGTTCAGCGCAGAAACTCAACGTCGGTGAACGTTTCGCTCAACACTTCCTTCCATTTACACAACCTGCATTTGACGGACTTCACGAGCAGCGTCCGCCCTCCGCCTTCCAGCCAACCCCCTTGCCCAGGACTGCAAGAGCACCGCCGCGGACACCTGGTGTCATCCCCAACAGGGCAACAAGACGCAAAGGCCGACACGGTTCGTAAGTGGGCCCCCGAAGGGAAAATTTTAACATGCTGTGCTGTGCGGCGGAGAAAGGAAAACGCAGCATGTGCCATCGTGTGGCAGTCGATCGGCAGGATTGATCAGGTAATGAAGCAAAATCCACGGGGCATTGCAATGCTGGGCAGCATCGTAGTACGTACTAGCGCTTCTGTACGCCCGCCTTCAACAACACGGGGGCACGTTCACAATCGCCGCCATCATGGCCAAAAACTTGTCCGGCGTGTACGCGAGAAGCGGAGGCGGACAGCAGGCAAACAAGGTACACGACCACGCCATGTCAAGCAGAATTTCGTATCGTTCCGTGGTTGCCTGCTATGCCTCTTCAGAATCAGCCGTACTGCAACCAAGACCTTCAAGACGACGACACCCACGGAGACTTGCAGCTGTCATTTCCAGCACTGAATGAAAACAAACACCGCCTTCTTCACCTGCCGGATCAAGGCCAGGTACCGCATCCTCTCACAGCGTCCCCTGGTCCACATCTGGAGGACGGCTGAGGCATTTCTGGCGCGGAGGAACGCTTTGCGCTCGAGCCGGCCACGAACCACGGCTTGGATGGAAGCCGCCGCCTGCCAGAGAGGAACGCGGGACACGGGATTCGCGTGAGGGTGGGTGAGGAACAAAAGAAGAGATCGCACAAGCTCGTCGGGCGACACGGCACTGCCGGACACGACACAGCGACCAAGCCCAAAGCCAACGGCAGTGTTGCCATCGAAACAACACAACTGTCCGGATAGCGCTGGCTGCCAAAAACCATGCCCTAAGGCATCCGGCCTGGCCCCCTCCTTCTGCACTTTAGCCAGTGCTGTACAACGGTAGTACCGCTGCCCTCAAAAGAAGAAATTTCGGAACATAATCGGAAACCAATATAAACCCATCCTCGTAGCTCTCCGAAACCTTTCTTGTACCTCGTTAATGCGCTTCTCCAACCCGCGCTCGGCCTGCTCCGCCAGCTCCTCCCGCCGCGAGCTCGCCGCCCTCCGCGCCGCCTTCCCTCTCCACGCCGCCTGGACCACCGTCGCCGCTGCCGACCACCCCAGCCTCCTCAGCCTCCCATCGGCGCCCGCCGCCCACCACCTCTGAATGGTCAACGCGGCCAGGTGGACCCGCTGCTTCTCGCTCACGTACATGGTTTGCTCTGGCAGCACCCTCTCCGCCGCCTCCGCTACCGCCGCCGGTCCCCGCCGCGTCGCCGGGGGCGTGAACGGCGCCGCGCCGTCTCCCGCCCGCGCCAAAGCGGCAGCCGCGGCTGCCCTCTCCGCCGCAGCCTTCGACCTCGCCCTGGCCTTGGCGGCGCGGGCGCGCTCGACCAGGTCCCCGCGCCCCGTCCGCTCGAGGAAGGAGCGGTAGACCCGCTGCACCAGGATGGTGGAGCGGATCTCGGCACTGGATTCGAGGAGCCGGGCGCAGAGGTGGGCCACAACCGTGATGATCGTCTGCGTTCAAGCGGTGGGGGGGAGGGGGTACTCATGTCTTGCCTGCCTTCGTTGTTAGACCGCTCACTGCACATCCTCCAGGGGACGGAGCGTTGTTCCCACAGGACCGAGCACCAGTGGCCAATCGCTAGTTCCTACCTTGCCCTGGGTGAAAAAAAAAAAAAAAAATGCTAGTATCGTATGAACCCTATCGATGTTACTTCCCGCCTAAATCCTGCCAGCATCGTATGAACCCTATCGATGTCACTTCCCGCCTTTTCTTTCAAGGGCGGGGTGGTTGCCTATCTGGTCATGGTGACTTCCGTCAAACGATATGTGTAATTTTAATAAGACCCAAGACATTATCGGTGCGCCCATCTCCCCGACGAAGTTCGTCCGAGACGGTGCGCCAGGTAGCGCCGTTACCGCAGTCTAGACCTGCCCGCACTCAAGACAAAACGCAGCGCACACGAAGCAAGCCCAAAGCATAAGCGCTAGTAGGCTTGCTTGATGAGCAATCTGTCCGGGTCCTGTTCCTCTTCACCTTTTCTTCCGGCCGGTTGGTGCTGTCGAACGGTGCCAGCATGGACGGCACGCCGCCCAGCTCCGCCACGCAGTGCCTAGCCAGAGCGACGTTCGCCCGCTCGCCGTCCAACGCCGCCTTGCATTCCGCCTCCGTTATCTGTCCCGCAAAAAAACATCGAAAAAAAGAAGTAAGACGTGTGTGACGGGTCAAGCACAATGTCAGCTTGGGAACAGTGAAGTTGGAGACTTTTGGGAAACCGAACAACAAGCACTCCGCGCTTGGGGGCTTTAATACATGTGCGAGTTGCTTGATCCCACGATGTAAAAATCCGCGCAACACAAACGAAGCACGCCCCCAGAAACAATTTCCGTAGGTACCCCCCACATGAGGTGACGCATGACCATTCTTGTGCTTCCCCCGGAGGACAAACTTACGCAACCTGCCTCTTGTCTATTGTGAACGGTTCCGAACCGACCAGACTCGTGAAGAATGAGATCAACGGTCAAGTTACCATCTACCGTATACCTTGGTCTACTTCGGCTGCGCAGCACGACACTTCCTGCTGCGAAAAAAACATCAACATCAAGGCGGTACCGCAGCGGCAAACCGTCCACTACAGTGAACAAAAACGAATTGACGCATCGAACTGCTGCATCTCCAAGGCTGCTTGCTGGCCTGGTATAGGTGGACAAACCTTGGAAGGGTCGAGAGAGGCTGACCAGTCCTCCAGCTCCCCCCGACCGCCGCCAATCCTCGGGAGGTGGGCCGTCGTCCGCCGAATGGCGTTGAGAGGGATAATCTGACAACAAAGTGACGGATCAGAGCAAGCAGCTGTCACGACGAGCAAAAAACAAAAAGGTGAAAAAACCCAAGAAAACATTACGCCAAACATGCTTCAACACAAAGATGCATAGTCTACACAGGCAGCGAATCTTATAAGTTTGACGGGGAGGATGCGGACGAAGCTCGCAGCCGCGTTGCTGACAGATACAAGACGACCCTGTCCTCGGGATATCGGCGACGAGCCATAAGCAGACTCGCCCCGAAAAGACGCGAGAATAGCACAAAACTTTGCGACACGTTGCACTAATTCGAAGCCGGGGAAGAGAGCCGACAAAATGCTGCACCAGAGCACGACCGCAGCGCAGCGTTCGAAGGAAGCCGACAAGGCTCCACCGGAGCACGACCATCCTCTCCGCCGCAACAGCAAAGCGCACTCCTCTCACCCTCGGGTGGTAGTAGTGCAGCAGCAGGCACAGGGCCCGGCCGTCCGCGAACGAGGTCGTGAAGTTCCGCACTGGCACCCCATACCCGTGACACACGGCCTGGCACCACACCAGCAGCGCGGACAGCAGCTCCTCGTCGCCGCCGCCACCACCGTCACGGCGCCCCCCATCCCCGCTGCCGCCGCCCGCCTTCTCCTCCCAGCCCTCGACCATGGCGGCCACATCCGGCAGCTCAAGGGGGGGGTGCTCATCCCCGGCAACCGCGCGCCCCTCGGCCGGAGGCGCCACGGGAGACGCCGGAGATCCGGGGGACATCACCCCGAAATCTACGGTGGTATCCCCCCCCCCCCAGCAGCGGCAGCAAACCCGGCGGCGGCGGCGGCGGCAGCGGCGGCGGCACCGATGGCATCCATCTTCCCCATGGCGCGCTCGGGTCGAGCCGGAGAGAAGCCCGCGCGGCGCCACTTCCTAGCGGCGGAGATCACGCCCTGCGCCTCCCGGGCCAGGGCGTCGCGGTCGAGGAGGGCGGAGAGCGAGTAGCGGGTGATGATGAACCAGAGGAGGCGCAGGGTGGCGTGCCGGTCGCCGTCCACGATGTCCTTCGGGGACACCGCGCCGCCGCCGCCGCCGCTACCACTGCTGTTGCTGCCCAGCGTAATCGGGCCGGCGTCGGCCTCCAACCGTTCCAACGCCCTCTTGGTG